TATATCAAGTTTGAGATTTTTTATTATCATATTCATTTTCTTGACACTTGAAATGACATTTTGGAAAGTTAAGATTGACAGTTTTCTACACTAATGACATCTTGAAACGTCAAAATTTACAGTTTTCTATTCATACTAAAACCGTAATAAAAATGTATGTCACTGAACATATTTAGTCACATTTTAGATGATTTTTTTGATTGACAATAATGACATTTTGATACGTCAAATATGATATATGTTTCGATGTAATTTATCAATTTATACAGTTCGTTTTTTGGAATTTTCTTATTGAAATCGAATTTATTTTTCTACACTGATGACATTTTGAAACGTCAAAATTATTTCGTTTGTTCAATTCATTACGAAACGTCAAAACTTACGCACGATAATGCATCTGTCAAATTTGACAGTTTCTTATTGATACTTGAAACGTGACTAAATTGACTTTATTTTTCTACACTGATGACATCTTGAAACGTCAAAATTGACAGTTTTCTATTCATATTCTTGACACTTAAAATTACATCTTCAATGACAGTTAATCTTGAATAATGAATTGATTTGAAACGTCAAATAATATATATATTTCAAAGCATTTCTCTCGTTCATCGTGTGCAAAATCCGTGACATACTTGAATTCGATTTTCTTTCTAATATCGAGGATAAATTTATCTAGTCGCTCTGATTTTGTTTATTTATTTTTTAAAAAGTCGATTATTTTCTGAAAAACAATCATATCAAAACGTAATCATTCATAAATGTGTTCCACTAGAAACGTCAAATTTGACAGAAAACAATCTAGTCTTAAGTAGTCAATGTAGTCTTCAATTGTTTTTATAAAATTTTTGATGTTTTAATAAAAAAATAGAATAAAAATGAAGTGATCACAACGACGAATCACAGGTTGCTATGAAAGTTTAAACAATTCTTATTGGGCCACGAAAAGAAAGAGATAATAAGATAAGAAGTTAATAAAAATTTGGACGATTTCAATAGGAAAACGTTTTTGCGTGTCGATAAAAATCAGCAGTTGCAGCTGCAAATCAGAATGCTAAAAGCTAAACGAGGGATCGGCCATCACCGGTTCTTTTCGTTCTTAACAGTTCTATTGGTTCTAATGATCAGGTAGGCCCGGCCCGCACAAACCATTGCTAGTTTATCACTACATATTTTTTTGTTGTATCCAAATCTGAACCAATCGAAAATGGACACAAAAATCAGTGCGTTTCTTCTTTTAAATCAATAATCCAAATAGTTATGTAAATGCATTACTTGCTAAATAATTTACTTAC